CAACACCATTGATCAACCTGACGATAAGAACCACTGCTTCACATTCAACGGCAACGTAAAGGAGAAAATATTTTATTACATCTCTTTTGAATAAAGTAAACAAGAGCAAAGGAAAAAGGAATTCGAGAAGTTATTGCTGCTCCTGTATTATTTGGATGAACACTGTAGTTTGGTCACATAGTGGGCAAAATTTAAAGGAACTGCATTCCATAAATCAACCTAGCAAAAAATCACAATGGAGATAGAGGATTACAGTGCAGAGTGTAATCTCGACACGTTAATTCCTCGGCTCCTGCTGGAGGTGTTGATAAGACCTAGGCGAGGTCGAAATTACACTCCACCCTGAATGAAAATGCCTTTGGGAAAGCAAGGTTATGTGAAATTCACTGGAAACGTCAGCTCTATTCATATTATTGTGGAAAAATTCAACGACCAGTTAATCATTTTGAGCGAAATAGAGTGAATACACCTCATATAACTGATTCACTAGTAGTCTCGGAACCATACTTATGCATGAAGGCAACAGAAAGACTGACAAGGAAATGCAATCATAGAAAGATCATCGATATCCTGACTAAAATAAATCCATGGAAGAGGGCAGAGTTAGCGTAAACTTTGAGTATTTTTTTAGCAAACTTTGAGGAGATAATAAATCAGCAGAAAGGAGACAACTAGATAAAATAAGCAACTTTAAGAGGAAGAGAAGGACTCGCAGAGAAGAAGCCCTCGAGGGACTATCGGAAATTAAGGTAAGACGTCGGCAATGAGTCTAGTCAAACCAAGTAAACAGCTACAAAACCTGGGGATTGGGACACAAGGGACTAGGAAAAATGAAAGTCACACAATCGGCATAATAAGTAGAATCACGAAGCCAATTAGACCAGAACTCCACTAGAGATATGCGGCGAGACCAAGACATTTGGCCAACAGAACACGGGTTTGATTAAAGAGATGGTCCATGAAGTAAACGCTTGGCCATTAACTTTGCCCGTAGCACAGGCCGAACTGGTTAAGGAAAACTACAGTGTTAAGTTAGCCTTTCGTCCCGCTTGAGATCCCATGCTTTCGAAACCGAACAGAGGAGATAAGAAATGGACATGACAGGGCAAGAGGAAGACTGATAAAACTTGGATGAAATAGATTACCGAGTGAAGCACGATGTGAAGGATGAAGAAAGCAGCGGGGAACGTCAATAGGCATCGCTAACTCCACTTTACAGAGATTCGTACTAATATGGGTTATGGGGTAGGACAGGAGAGATATCACGACTGTTCACCAGAAAGTTAATCAAAGGATGATCTCGTTTTGTCTCTGACGGGTTTAAGTTTGTTGCTAAGACTGACAAAGCGCACTGACGATGCCAACCACGATGCTGGTCAAACGCTAGGAAATGCACCAAGTTTACGGATTAATGCTGAAAATTATTGACTACTGTGACAGAGGACTTCGTACAAAGTGCGCTCGCTTACATCCCTCTGACAACAGGACCGATTTGCGAAAACGATGTCTAACCACTTCTCAATCAGTTGTTTTTTTATTTAGGCACTTGGAGATAATAATACAAATTTGTAAAGTTTGGCTTGCTTGTCTTATCATGTCTGTCGTTTGCCTCATCGACGCTATCATTACCTGGTCTAAGGAGTAATACAGCTGACTCTACTCCCGTTAGGAGAGGAAAAAAGACCTTTGCGACACAAAAACTAGCAGACAGCCTGAATAGGAGGCAACTTACGAGATACCTGGCATATAGGAATTCCGTATTAAAGCTTCTTCTTCACTTCGCCTAAGCAGATCAATAATCATATGCTTCAAGCAGAAAATGGACGCAATACATCTTCCCCTCTAGTGATAGCTATGACCTCACTATTAATGCAAATGCAAAGCAGGGCAGGAGCCTGGCACCAGATTAGTCTCGAAATCTTGACGGTAAGACCCAATTTTCCAACAAACTTAATCACTTCACGGTTGCGCCTCGCAGAGAGATCATATGAGAATCACGCAGCCTCACTCTCCATAATGTTTGGCACGGATTCATCGGGGTCGCGGGATGGTGCACCAAAGGCTTATTCGCACAAAGGTACAGCCATGGCTCCAGGACGGCCTCCTTTGGCTTCTGGTGAGGCCAACTTACGAATTCTTTTTACTCGCCTCTTCAAACGAAACGAAAGACACTCTAACATCAATCTATTAATGGATTTTTCGAGAACCACACACTATTGCCAGTCGGATTTTAGCTCACCATCGCGATTCAACAGCCCAACGCCAACCATAAATTGGTTCTTACTTCCCGCAAAGTATTTAGACGAAAGAACTCCTACTTAGACATAGTTCCCAGCCGATGACGTCTTGTGGCACATCGCTCATCGTGCTCCCTTTCGGCGCCATTTCTTCACGTTCCCACAGCAGCGTCTTGTCTCAACGAATCGTTCGTGAAAGATCCTGACGCTCGGCTCCCTGAGACCCAGGAGCCCCCGCATCCGTTACATCGTCGTAACTCCTGCCTCCTGACCACTGCGTGCTGCTGCTTCGCGCCACGAACCTGTCTTATGGGAAATTCGACTAAACATCCGAGGGCAGGAAGACTGTGCTATACCAGCTTCAAAACGAAAGTAAAGTCCTCCAACGAATTTGTCGTCATTGATGTGCACCAGCAGAAAAGAACCCTCCTCCACCGACTTCGAATCAACGTCAGGCCTCCGCATCTCGCCTCTTTTATATGTCGCACTATTCAGCACTCTGATACAGCTCCTTTTTGAGTATCCCTTATTCCCACTCCTGTTTACCCCTTATCGTGCACCCTAACTCACTGCATAACTACTTAATTCTAATAATAATTTAATTCTAATAATAATAGCAATTTATCTATGATTCTATGCCATTTCTTATATTTTCTCACTATAACTCTAATTCTGTAGAATACCTTTAGGAAGTGAGATAAAAAGATAGTAATTCGGATGGAAGCTTGTGCCATTACCAGGTCTTCAAGGGATATAACACTATTCGACCCAGGAAAATGCCCATTTTAATCCGAGCTGGAGAGACTGTCTCGAGGACCTGGTCAGCATGGACGCAACAGAAAATTCAAATAGATGTCTGTCATATTATTATGAGATTATTGTCAACACACATTTATGCACGAAGTGAAAGTCGGCTAAATCATGAAATATTGGGAGATTCATCCAAATCCAGTTAATCTCCGCAGATACGAAGAGAAACTTGGTTTCGATGAATCTCCTGAGATAACATTGTTAGAGAGACCTTCATTTTGTATGAAAGTGCATGAAGAAGAGATTCGTTGGTAAATCTCACCAGATGAGGACGAATGAAACTCGTTGTACTGCAGCCGGTTGGATTTTATATGATATTCCCGAAACGAGGGAGGAAGTCTCGTGGACTGCGTCAACATGAATATCGTATAAAATCCTAGCGGCTGCAGTACAACGAGTTTTATCCGTCCTCATCTGGTGAGATCGACCAACGAATCTCTTCTTCATACA